ACATAAGAAAGGACATAAAAGTTCCCAAAGGAAGAGAAGCATTTTTCACATTTAGCATTTAATCAGGCATCTGGAAGCCTAAAGAAAACAATATTTAAGGCTGCGCTATGTGCAGAATACAAAGCTTTGGCCTTTGGATCAGGCTCCAAGGGAGTGCTGCACTAACGCAGACTGTTCCAGTTACTCTTGAAGATGATCTCCTGACAAAACCAGCAGGCGTGCCAGTCTTTCTTGAATGCCAGTGTCTTTCTAGCATCGCTAGTACTGGCAGCACCAACCAGTACTCCTCAGGACTGCATTTCCATAATTACTTACTCTGAACAAGAGAAAGGATTTTTCACTTACCCTGTAAAGTCCCGTGATGGACCAACTCCATCGGGACTGGACTCCCCTGGGGCCCCTCTCCGCTTCTGACACTGCAGCATGTTGTCAACCTGTGGGACCAAGAGCCATGAAGAGCTTTTCTCAATTAGCGGAGAAAAGACTATGGGGCCGGGGTGATAAGGCACATTTTTGGACATTTTTGTCTCAGATGCGAGCAGCATTCACTGGCAAAGATAAAAGTCTCAGCCTAAGAGCCACATAAAACTTTGCTTCTCACCTGGCTGCAGCCACCAGGCTTTGTGGCAGTGACAGACTCCCCTAGAGCAGTCTTCCCTGCAGGTATCAGCCTACAAAACACACTTCCAGAACTCCCTCCCACTTTCTCTTCTTACACCCGCTTCCTCGCTACTGTTTACATTTTTCTCTACCGTGTCAGCAGCCTGCAGATCAGCTCCTAGAGGTTCTGCAAAGAAAACCAGGATACAGTTCAGCACATTTATAGCATAGTTAGCATAGATAACTTCATTGCTGAGTTAGAAGTTGTTCAGAAAGTAGGTAGTGACTTAAGTCTGGCTGGCGATAAAAAATTACACTGAAGATGGTAAACGGGATGATGATGGGAGATCACTTCCAACTCTACCATGCTTGAGCAGTTGCAGAAGAGACCTGCAGTCGCAAAGAGAAGTGAAAACGTCACACCAGTAACAGCTTTAAAATAGGTTGAGAAGTGAGGAGATGGTCCACATAACTGAATAATAATGCTGGCAAAGGCAAAATTAAGCATCTCAACAGACAGAACTGTCAGGCTGCAGCTGACAGCTGCAACAGCCAGAGCAGCAACAGTTCATCTGCACCAGTTGCCATTTAACAGTTTATCAAGGTAGGACACCGGAAAAGGAATACTCATTAGGACTCAGGACACCAAGGTCTATAAAATAAATGTTAGAAAACACATTTATATGAGAGTTCAGCTGGGATCCATTTATAAAATGGAGGTAATTTTACAAAGCTCCTTAACTTTCAGCATCACTGTGACAACCAACTACCTGAAGAACCCCGTGTGATGAATGAAGGTGCCGATCACTAGGCAGCACGCAAACACTAGTGCTGTGACCTGAAGGCTTTGTTTCCTTTTATACCAATTTCAACGATCTTAGTTGAGCATTTCTAAGGAATTAAAATAAATATTTAACTCCTATCAGGCCTTCTTCATATGGGCTGATGTAAAGATATGCTCTTTTGAACATGTGAAATATATTTTGACAGTTAACAGACTCACTTCTATCTCCATTAAGACTCTCTTAGAAAGCACGTAACTGAGCATTAAATAATCCGCAGCACTTTCATACCCAAACATCACCCCCTAAGACAAAATGATTTAAGTCAAGTACTTTGCACTAGCCCCAGTTCCCCTGAAATCACTGGCTCCAGCCCAGCCACCCCCCCTAAGCAACACCCTACACAGTCAGGAGAACTTACAGTCCCCCAAAGAATTGTTAGTCTTGGGTATGAAGCTGGTTTGGGAAACTTCTTCCTTACTCCTCATCAGCCCAGTTTTGTTCACCTACCAAAACCAGCAGGGATTTTGCAAATTTTGTATGACTTGTTGTAAGAGACACACTAGTAAGTAATATTTAGCACTGGAACTGAGCCCAATTAAACACTTTCAGAAGAGCCTATGTAAAGCGCTGATCATCACCAGTTTGATCAACTGCAGACCACCTTCCTACTTTTGTAATATACAACTTTAAAAAGTAGATACCATACATCTCTGGACACCGACAGATTTTGTAACACTGTTCAGAAATTTATATCAGAAATACTTTTAGTTGTTTTCTAAACACTACCCCGATAATAGCAGACCATTTTAGAATCTAGTGATAATTTTATTTTAAAAATCCCCTTGTAAAGCATTAAGGCTGGTGCCAAAATCAGCACTCAGTCCAATGGTTTGCCAAGGCAGGATTACCTCATTATCTCTCTGAACCAAAAAAACCAAACAACAGCAGAGGAGTACAGCTTTCAGGATGCTAAGTCAAGGACATCTGAACAGCTCCTCTCAATATTCTGTTGTAAGACAAATTGAGCAAAACTGTCCTTAGTGTACAGAAAGCTATACTAATCTTTCATGGTAGGTTTTCTTTATTACCAGTATTGAAAATAAGTCACGAACATAAAAGCAGCAAGAGAAAAAGTTGCACCAACTGCAATCATTTTTCCCCCAATCTTTCCCCCTCCCTCCCTCCCAAGTTCTCCACAAATACAGAGACTAAAGCATATGCCATGTGAGAATGTAAATCAAACCATACATTTAAAATGGATTTTAATTAATGTACAGCAGTTACTGTTCATTAATGTTACGCAGTCCCTGCAATTACATTCTTTGTAAGGTAAGTCTTCACTTTTCTTTATTGAATCTTCTGATGGAGAAACAGAAAGGAGGGGTGCAATCAAGGAGTAAGGAATGATCAGTCATTAAAAATTCTGGGATTTCGAGTAGTAAACCTCAGAGAGTCTTCTACAAAGTTCCAGAAATAAATGGTGGCAACGTGTATATATTGCAATTTTATTTCATTCGCTCAAACAAAACATTAGCATGTAAGAAATTTAAAATGACACAATATGATAAAAATAGCAGAGAATGAACTGAGAAACTAAAAGGAAGGTAAACCTAAATGCATGAAAAGTCAACATTCATTAGTGATCATCTTCAGTCTCTGATTGACACTGGATGCTCAATAACTTTTTAAAACAATGAACTGGAAATCATTATGACTATCTGAAGAGATTTCAGCACCAGCACTAAGATTTTTACATTCAGTTGGTTTGCAGTTGACTTGGTAGCCACCGGTCTATAGTACAGGTTTATCACGGGTCAGATCACAGTGTTGAGGAAAGCGACGCCTTCCTGGCATTAGAAAGGATCCCTTAAACTGCCCTCAGCTTAAGACATCCATTGTACAAAAGCACAGAACCACCACAATATGGTTTTTAAAGAACTTACGTTACCAGTAAGCAAAATAATCTTAGCTTCTGCAGTTCATTTTCAATACTGAAATCTCTGGAAACGGTGCAACTGTCAGTAGGACAGGAAATGTCTACAGTAATCTTTAATTCAATCCGATTTTCTGGAAAGAACCAATTCTGCAGTTTGAGATTACAGAAAGTATGTATGTAGAAGCAGCACAAAAGACGACATCTGTTCCTTTTTCTTTTAAACAGAAATCATGTTAATTGTAGACCAAGGCACAAAACGTTTAGTGCATAAGCCAGTTCCTTGCACAATCTAGTAGTTCATCCTTTAATTTTGGACCACTTATACCCATTCATGCTATTCCACTATGCTACTCCTGAACTCTCCTAGAAACAAATCAAACGTGATTTCTGACAAGGGTAAACTTCCCTAATGCTCAAAAAGTCCACGTAAAACAAAAAGTTACATCAACAAAGATGAAAATGCCTCCTCTTGTTTTGAGAAAAACAGTACTCGACAAGCTTACTATGGATTTTGTTTTAATGCCTTCAATAAATGCATGCAGAAAAATGTTTTTCTTTAAAAAAAATTATTAATAAATGGAGTTAGGCAATATTTCCACTGTAGTCTTCTCTTAGAATTTGAACCTATAGAAACAGGAAATGTTTGAATTGGAAGAAAATTTCCCACTGAAGCCTTTCCAAAGCTGCAAGTGCTGTTTTGCTTTGGTGTTCAGCACTTAAGACAGTATGTTATTGAAAGCATTTGTCCTACAAATGGAGCTGCATATACTTTTAAGATGAAACATTAATCTCTCCAAAACTTGTAAGCAAACTTTTCTTTTGGATCAGCACAGATCCCAAAGCAAACATGACACTGTTACGGCTCAGAAAAATTGACAGTGCAGAGGAAAAGGGAGGATTTTGATCCATGTTCTTTGTCCAAAGCACTACAGATCCAACTCACAGAATTTCTATTCCACTGAACGGTACCACATTTAAAAAAAAAAATTAAAAAAAAATTTACAAGCTTAAAATCTGAAAACCCTGGTAAACAGAAAGGTATCATCTCCCCTAAAAATGCTTCTCAAATTGTTGACTGAAACCAATGGCACACCATTGCTGTTTTTCAGGGTTTGAGTTGTGTGGAGCTGTGAGGTTTTTTTGTTGGCTTGAGGTTTGGTTTTTTTTTGTTGGTTTTGATTTTTTTGTAAGGAGGGTGGGAGATAAATTAGGCAGAGAAGGGGACGTTTATTGTGACCTGATGCCCCATTGTTCTAACGTAACTAACTGCTGTCCTGTTTCATTAAACAATCAAAAAATGAGTCTCAGAAACGAGTGAAGCAGAGGGTCATGGTAAAAAGGTAAAGGACAACGCACTTACACAGGTGCATCCTCAGTAATTCAGATGCCTACACATTTGTTCTCTCACCGAGAAATGAGTTAGGTTCACATGGGAGTTTCAGAACCATTATGGAAGTATTACTGAATTTCAAATAGAAAACTGAAAAAAGATACAAAAGCATTAAGTACCTGGTTCCATTAACATGGTTACTGATAAAAGTCACGTTTTCCTCATTATTACACATGCATGTAAGATGAAGAAAAGTGTAGAAAGTAATAAAAATGTGTCACCTTCCCCCTCCCTCATCCCGCATCCTTCTGGGCATAAATTAAGCCTTACAAATGAAAAGGCTACTCTGTGACATGCAATTTTTCTTTTAATTAAAAAGCTGGCTGTGTTGTGTTACATTACAAAAATGTCCACATGCATAAATCTAAAAAAAGCCCCAAAGTCTACTGTAAATCTACAACATACTAATGATTTACATTTGACTGCTGATTCGCATTATGTAGAAGTCTTAGATTTGGTAAAGCATTGTAACAATGTAGGAAGGCATCTACATCTTTAAACTCTGGACTGTATTTGCTTTTTTATTTTCCTATAAAATTGCATGAAGGCTAACTAGAGAGGCTTCCTATCATGAAATTCCAAAATCTTGATATGTCATCACCGTCTAGGTCATTCACTTACAAATATTGCCCTTTAAAAGCGTGCATTTCTAGTTGTTCCATGTTTTGTGAACTGAACTTCTACACATCTGACCTTTTAAATTATTCATGGAAATATCAGATATGATAGGAAGACAAACCTGAGATACATTTGAAGTACAACAGTATAACTTGCTAACTCCTTCATTAACAAAGAAAACCTCTCTGAAAAGCCTTCCCAAGCTTTTCCCTGTTTTTTTTTTGTCTTAAATTCTGCAACACGTGCAATTTTATCTTGACATGAGTAGACTTCAAAGCACTGTGATCTTGTCTGATAGGTGTAGGAATTTCTGCATAATCATTACAGTAACTTTAAGAGTCTTTTCCACCCTGCTGTAAAGGTCAGAAAAAAGCTGCAAACTAGGAGGGGAATAGCATATCACCAGACTGATGTGTCTGAAGCTTTTCAGAATAGGTTGTTCTTCTCCCTCCTTCCACGTGTCTGTCTGTCTGTCTCCGTTTTCTTCTAACAGCTCACAAAACGTAGTCAGTTTTATACCAAGTTAAAGAGTCACAATCGGCTTAGTACTAGTCTTTCTATGCGGTATTCGACTTGCTGAGTTCCTGCCTGATAGCTAGAGAGAAAGAGAGAGAGAAAGAAATTAACAAATCAAATAGTCAAAGGCAAGGCAGAAAGCCAGAATACACAACAGACCTTAACAAACGCTCACCCTGCTCCAACAGTCTTAGAACGTGAATAACCTATACGTAAGATAGTTTCATGTGGCTTCAGACAAGTGTCATTCTCAATCAGGCAGTACCTTTTTTCCTACCGTAAAATTTTTGTTAACATCTTATTTCTCAGTTCTGCATCTCCAGCAAGTCTATGACCTTACCTGATGACAATCACTACCACTGGGATTATCAAGGAATGTGTGTGGGGTTATTTATTTTAATTATTTTTGTTTGTTTTAGGAGCAGTCTTAGGGCCCTCCCTTGTTTTCATTGTACTGTTCTGAAAGGCTGCAGTACATATCACGGTCAAAATACAGGGAAAAGCACTGCATCCTCTGTCGCCCCAAAACAGCCAGCTTTTCGATACATCAGTTGATGACATTTAATATTTTACCAGCAGTGGTATCAGTTTAACATGACTTTAAAGCACACCAAGGTAGTAAACCACAGAATTTTATTTACTGCTTGACTGGTGGACTTAGATTGTTCTTTCTCAATAATTTCCCTAGGAAAATATCTTCTGCTAAAATAAAAACACAAATTGCAAGAATTTTTTTGACTCCTGTGTTACAGACCAAAGAGAAAAAAACTGAAAGCTGGAAGCACAATCCTAGTCTGAATATGACCAGTTTTGAAACGTCCACTTCAGAAGCTCTGGATTCTTTAAAAATAATCCACCTACCACCACATGATACAAGGATAACTGCAAATCACTCAAATACAGCATCCCTCCTACCACATTTAAGAGACTACTTCTTGTCAATGTGCTATTAAAACAAAACGTACAAGAGAGAAAACATACAAGTGCATAAATCAGAACAGGTTTGGCACAAATTAAAGTATACCATCAGACTAACAAAGCTACTTTCACCAATATATCATTCTCAGGCTACAAACACATTATATTTACATTGTTGTGCACCTGGAGCTACTTACTTTAAGACTGAACAACAGCAGCAAACAGATTGATACCTACCATCAATGAGTTCTTCCTTTAATTTCGTTAACTCCTTCCTCATTTCATCTAAAATGTCCTATGGTGTTAGAGCACAAAAAAAAGAGATTAGTTTTGCAACATGAACAGATTAGTTTTGACACCTGTAACTTTATGCAGAGAGAAATCCAAAATTCTTCTAACCTTTAATCAACCTTTAACCCTTCTGAAATGCAAAATCCAGCCTTTATCTTCTCAGTTAATCCCCTAAATCTAAAGCATCCCTAAAACATTCTTACTGCAGGTACAATGAAGAAAAAACCTTCTGAAGAAGTCCTACAAATTGATTCCTGAAGAACTTAAGAGAGAAGGGATAAACTGAAGTTAGCAATGCAAAAAAACTAACTAAAAACTGCAAGTCAAGGAAATATTCAAAGAAAAAAAGAAAAAAAAGAGGGATCCAGTTACCAAGGTATTCCCAGTCACCAAGTGGAATGTGAGGGAATGAAGGTGATGGAGTGAAGTGCCCTCCCCTGCTTGTTTTCTCCATCCTTTCATCAAGTGATGTTAACTGATGATTTGGTGACAATGTTTTTACAGAGTGGGGGGTAGTGTCTGTTTCTGCAGAGGAGACTGTCACCTCCTGGCCAAACCTTAGCAGGAAACTCATCCAGAAGATTTCAGTTGTTTCTTTTTCAGCTTTGGGGTTAGCATGCTGTTCACAACTGAGCATGCAATCACTCAAGTGTATTCTAGATTTGTTGAGTCTTTCATGAGCTGTTGGTGGAAGACACATGCATGGACACACCTTCCCTGCCCGAAGTCATCCTGGAGTAAGAGCACATACCAAAGCTGCAGAGGTAGGTCTCCGAATTTGCCAAGTCTTAGACATGACCCTTGCACAAGCAGCAAGAAGCCTTGGAGCAGGAGTGTGGCCACCACTTGCTGGGAAGGGCAGTGGCAAGTAAGAGCTCGACATGTGTCCAGTAGCAAACCGTGAGAAATGATCTTGCCTCCAGAGAACAGAATCTTAACAGAGGCAGCAAGAGTCAGCGTGATGGAAATGGGAGAGCTGTACTTTATGGGATAGTAGGATCCCCATTCTCTGTGCCTTCAACTCGAAAGAACCACAGAGAAGAAAAAAAAGCACCCCAGGAAAAAACAAACCAAAACAAAACACCAAAAAACTACAAACAGAAGAGGAAAGAAGAGCAGCCAAGACTCATCAGCAGCATTTCATGGAAACTATAGCAAGAGTACTGCAAATCCTCATGAGATTACAAAACCGAAGCACCTCTTGCACTACATTCTAGAACAATCCTACATGCGCTCCATAACTACCCATGGGGCCCAGAGCCCGCTCTAGAACCAACCACCTAGCCAGAACCCACTCTTGACTACCACCTAGCTGGAACCTGCTCTAGAACCAACCACAAAGCTGGAACCTGCTCCAGAACCTCTGTCCTCACTTGAGGACCAGCCCGTTGACCCAAATGCCACTTGAGGAAAACACCTCCAACTCCACAGTTCACACCCCCTCTAAAACCACTGCCACCAACACCACCACCATGGTCCTACAAACAACCCTTGAACTCTCCAAGTCTGGAACCCACCTGCCACACAACCAACCACTGCTCTACAGACTCCTGAATGTAGAGCCCCCTGGCAAGAGCAAGCACCTCACTTTCCCCTCTTCAATGACGGGAACCCGACTTCAGCAGAACCTTGCCTTGAAAAGAGGCAGATCACACCCACAATATACTGTGTGCTCAGAGGCTCTGCCAGAAAATTAACTAGCACCACCTCAACACATTTCCCAAGAAAAGGAGCTTCCACCAGCTTAGCATGGACAAACACAGCCAAAAAACAGTACCACGGCCTCAAACATGACTCCTCATATCATGCATATCGTCAGTGAGAAAGTGCACTACTGCTTTTGTGCGCGTGGAACGTCTGCTCGGTCTACAGATCACTAATGCTCTTAACTGATAGCTCCTGTCTTCGTACAAGTCACGAGAGACCCCTTGCAGAGCCTCTGTTTGCACAGGTTTGTCTGTTTGGCAACTGTACTTGACAAAGGCCTGTCACCTACAGGTAACCAAACATTTCCCAAAGCATCCCATAACGTCTTTTCCTCATTTAACAGAAGGCGGCTGCTGCCTTCTTCCCATGAGAAGAAGCCAGGAGAGCTACACTAAAGGTGTATCACTGGATGTTCTTTGACCACCCAAACTCATGACCACAGATGCTCACATCTGATATTAAATCACGGTGATACTTGTTCTGCTAGAACTGCTCTGAGGGCTTGTTTTTTGTTTGCTTGCTTGTTTGGGTAGAAAGAAGAAAAATAAAAGGTTTTCCAGGCAAACCAGTTTCCTAGTTCCATCCATAGTACCAACACCATCTTTTGTGTGCTGCCTAATGCAACTGCAGGAACAAGCATCTCTGAGGAAGTAATGGGGCTGTGTAAGCTGCCATCCTGGAGTTACAGCTCCTAAGAGTACTGAAACACGTCTGGGGAAAAATAATTACTAATAATTACTAAATCATTATTTAAAATTGAAATTAGTTAACAAAACAGCTAAACACTGGTATTGGAGAGCTACAAGTCCTTATGCACAAGTTTTCTATTCAAAGCATTATATACGTACCTGCTTCAATCTGTCATAATCTAGACCTTCTGACTGTACTCCATTGGCACTGGGTTGCCCCGTTGGTGTAGATTTTGGTCTGTAGTACAAAAACACATCCGTGAATTACTCATTATGACAGGATACATAGGACTTCTCCATCAAACTTGCTAACATTTGTCTATCAAAAACACAGTATAGAATCAGAATGAAAAAAAATGTTGGGAAGTGGGAGGGTGGGTGAATCAGGCAGACCCAAAATATTGCACAGAATAGAAAGCAACCACCAAGAACATGTTCCACACGCTTGGAAACGTTAATTACCATAAGAATAAGAGTTATTAGATCAAAACAAGAACTTTTCAAGTAGCAGACAGATTTCACTGTCAACTGTTTCTGATTTTTTCATAATGGGCATGAAAAGCTGAATGCCTTCACATGTCAAATACTTTCCCTTATCCAACTGCTTACTCACTTCATTAGGGTCCTTTCAGAGAAACACTCCCACTAGCTAATGACTACATGTTGATGTTGTAACTGTCTGAATGCTGTGGAATCACCCTGGCAGATTTCCAACATTCGACAGGACATGGCTGAGCAACCTTATCTATCTCCCTTTCTACCTAAATTATTCCATCAATTGCTTTCTAAAGCTACTGAAAGCAAATACTGTAACAGCAGTAAGATTTATAAGGTAATACTTGAGAGGGAGTTCTAGTGTTTTGGACTATGTCATGTTCAGTGCTTGCTTATGTGATACTCTCTTAAGACATCAAAAACTTGCTTACCAAGGTCATCTTGCATTTTTAACACACATTCCAGAAGAAGCAGGTTTTCTACCTTCTCATTTGTCTTTTCTGATGCCCTCTGTCTATACAAGGTGTATCTCAGGCTTGTGTATTTACTACGCTTCCACAGGGCCTTGCATACCTAGAGCTACGAGCAGAGTCAGAACCTAGATGCTAACAACAGGAATACAGAAACGATTTCCGAAGCAGGGATGGATGGATGCAAGGTGTAGGACAAAAAGGGAGGAATGTTCTGCTCTTCTTAATTACTTTTTACATCTTGGCTAACATTCTCTCTCCATCACTCGATAAAATGTTAAGCCAAAAAGCTGTTGATAAAATCGCTGACAGTTCACGTCAAGAGGTTTCCCCCATGTTTAGAATTATCACAGTACGCTAAGGAAGGGCAGGGTATTAGTAGCCTAAACTGGGTCCTATTTCATTGCCCTTCTATGTGGCATCACTGAACAAAAAAAGCCTGGCCTAAACTCAGTGTCTCACTTCAAAATTCTTACATAGGAGGAATTCATTAAACACTGCATTTTTTGGATTTGTTACCTGAAGGTGCAGCCTTATTTATTACAATTGAAGGTGGCCAAAAAAGACAAACCAGCAGGAAAGGCACAGTTCTGCATTTTATCTTCTCTCAAATACACAGTATAAAACTCTTTTTTCAGAATAAAGCAGAACATGTGAGGGACACAAGCAGTATATCCACTGCTTTAGTTTATTCTATTTATTTATGTATTTTCAATTTAGCTAACACAAAAAAGGCTGTGTTCTCACTCAGAAGAAAAAAATTGTGAACTTATATTTTTCTTTTTTTTTTCAAAATCACTACCTTCAGCTTTAATGCTTCTTCCCTTACAAGACAGCAGTTCATCCATGAAGAAATTGTCTGATTACACTGTCTTTGTTCAGTATGAGCTGAATGAGCCTCATACTGGATTGTCTTGATGACTTGTATAACCTGACAGGACTATTTTCGTATTTGCTAATGGAAGGAAAACACTCAAAATGTGACTCTCAACAGAAGAGGGCATGCACACCAAAATGTCATTTTGATACTGCACAAACTTTCTCAGGCTTGTGCTCTCCAGCAGATACTTTTACCTCTTGGAGGTTCCCAGTGTGAAAAACGTTAAGAAACAACATGGGACACAAGAGCTGCCTATTTTTCTCCCCCTAACCTGTAACAGGGCATGCCTGTGTCACTGAAGCACCTGGCACATTAAAAGAAATTCATGAAAGCCTTCATACACATTCACAGCTACCAAGCAATTCTGGTGACAGGACATTTTAAACTGGTACACATGAGCCCACTCATCTTTTCAAAAGGCAGTAACTTCAGTGTAGGTGACAGAAACCCCTCAGCAATTTTTTAAATGCTTCACGATTATTTCTGTGCACTGACAAATTAGGTACGTCAAGCCTAGTGGCACCCACTTACAAAAAAACACCTGAGAATCTAAATGTAAATTCCAAGAAATTGCTAACATCATTATTGCTTTAAACACACTGAAATGAAACACCTGATCCATCAAGTAAGAAAGAAGATAAAGTGGAAGGAGATGGAAAATAGAATTCACCTTGTAACCACCAGAAAGCCTACAGTGTGAGCTAATGCTATGAAGACAAACCACAGTTTGGGTTCTTTTACAAAACTCTTTAGATACTGATAGTGCTTAGTTCCTTATGAAAGAATCCCTCGCTCAAAAACATTTATCAACATGAGATCTTTGGCAATTGCTACTTTATCATATACCTGGTATTTAAAGTGTTACTTACAGTTTACACCTGAAACAGTGAATGCTGACTCACTCCAAGCAGAATAGCATTGTTTTTCAATTTTTCCATGTATAGCTTATAATCATTTCTGTTCACTATCACTTTGTTCCCATTCACTATGGCATTACAGCATATACCCAATGTGACTGAAAAAAGAATCAGTGTCCCCCCAAATGCAATTCCTGACAAGTGATAACAGAGACCTATTACACGCCTTAATGGAAGAACCCAAACAAGAATATACTTTATTAAAATAAAGTGACTTAGGACTAATATTTTAATTAAATTACTTTAAAGAAGAGCTCTCCACAGCTAGACTGCTTCTTGCTTCTTTTGCTTCAAATCTTTAGAATAAAAAGGCAGCTTTGACAACCATACGCCATATACCCCTGCTATCTGCAAAAAGCTCAACAGGAAAGCCACTTTAAGAATGCTACCCCTCAGTCTTATGAATGTATTCTATTTTTGCTTTCTGAAATGGAACATATTCATTCAGTCAAATATGAAAGACTTAACTAGCCAATTTCTAATCCCAGGCAAATCTAGCTTTCTTCCCCCCCCAAATTATCCTCTTTTTCCTTCTTTAGCTTGCTGAGAAGAAAGACTAATGGTGAATGTAGTTGCCATTAAAAAGAAACCATTAACTACTTAAATTTAGTGAATGAAACATCCCAACCATTCAAACCTAAGATGGCTAAAGAGCTCTCCCGTGTGGTTTTTCATAGCATTGCCTAACAGGACAGTGAGGCTACCCTGATAGGCCCTAAAGCACCTTTAATCAAGCATGCAAGATAAAGATTTTATTCATGCCAACATGCAGAAAACACCAACCAAGATCAGTAGCTAAAAGGGGAACTTTTCATACAAAAGATTAAGTAGTCACCACAATGAATGCCTTAATGAAAAACAAAGCTGGAATTCAACTCAGTAATTCTGAGGAGGTCTGTAATGCTTACCCATGGAAAGCTCTTAAAACCTGAAGGCTTTTAATGCCAGTATTTTTTGACTACCACTACAGAGAGTAAAACTGAGATCCACAGCTTCAAATACACATGATGTTAATTCTAATTTATTAATATGTTCCCAACAGAAACACTGCTTTATGTTTAACAAGCCCTTTTTTTTTTTTCCTTTCTGATGTTTAAGTCAGGCAAAATCTATCTGTTATCTTCACTTAATTTGTGAAAAGCAGATGTGAAAATTCACCTGGAAAATTGCTATTCCTGTGTACCTAAACCTACATTTTTGAAAACCTGCTTCTCAAAATACTGCAAATGGTTCACTACATCTTGGCATATCCAACAGGAATTTGAATCTTCACAGGTTAGTGACTGGCAGAAAACCAGTATTTCATATGAATTCACAGCTAGTTCTTAAGCCATATCAATTTGCCTTTGGCACCATCTGCTTTTAACTAGTCCAAAAATGGGCTCAACTGGAGAAACAAAATGTGAAGAGGAACCGATCGTACCTGTGGTGATTACCAATCCATGCAGAAAAAGTCCAACCCTGAATTGGTCAAAATGGTTATTACAAAGTCTCAAATCCCAACAGGATGATACCTGTTTAATGAATCATAGAACCTGTTTTCAGAAGCAAGCAGATTTTTCCACGGAGATTCACGTCTACGAAGGGGAGAAACACGACCTTAACAAGCTATAATGGGTCTTAAGTATGTTCAGTTTCAGCACCTCAAATACCATGGAGTTTCACTAGTTGTGTTCCAAGAGGTCTATTTGAATATTTCAGGAACACTAAAAGCACATAGGTTAAGTCTTTGCAAAGTCTGCTACAAAAAAGGGCCTGATTTTAAAGAGGACACTAGTTACTTTAAAATACTTATTCCTTCCGAATAACAATTCCTTCATTGTCTACCTGTTTGGAAGCTCTGAAGATAAAATTTTGCTTAGTTGCTAGTTTCTTAGGTATGCTTTGTTTAATCCCGGTAAATGACTCATATCCTCTCTGTAGAGGTCAGAAGGAGGTTCTCAAGCTTACCAGGTGAAAGATATCCCCTTTTGGCAAACACGGTATGAGTGTTTCAAACAGCAGCACCCACTGACTAACTCATTCAAAGTTACTTTAACAAGCTGCTTGCTGAGATAGACTTGACAACTGTAGAGAATTAAGAAAAATGCAAGGATATTCAAGAGAATGTCCTACTAATACCTTTTCTTTCTCCGTCCATGAAACATTCCTCATCCTGGCAGGACAAACTGACCACTGACTAGAAAACTGTACAAGCAGTCTTAAAACATATCCTATGGCACCTTCCAGCAGCTTATGACAGCACTGGAAAATAAAACTGACCTTCAATAAACATAAAATTCTTATTTTGGAAATACTTTTAGAGTAGACACCCAGTGAGGCCCTCATCAAGCTGAATCCTATCGACATTTTCCATTGGATGACTGAAGACAAAACCTTGACAGAGAGATTTTCTTAATATCCTCAAGAGAAGTCTCAGAACTCCTCTGTACTCCTCTAGGTCAGGAAACATTTTTAAACAGACCTCAATAACCTCTGAATTTCACAGGTTGAAACAAGATCAATGAAATAGGATGCATAAAACAGTTTAAAAGAAGCTACAGCTGTAGGGACATATAGAATGAAGACTTAAGGACATCCCAGATTCCCCAAAGGACTCTGATATGGAGAGCTCCCCTATTTATTAATCCCTTCACTTTCCTTTCTTCAATTGCTTATCCATAGGGTATTTATAGCAAAAGGGCCAGGTCAGCAACTGTCTTAAGCAATATGGAATCTAAAATGCTCTTCGGGATACTTCATACAAGTTATCTCTGTGATGACTTTCCCCTCAATGCCATGGACTGATACCTCGATCTGCCTGAAAACAAGAGACCTCAGTTAAAGCAGGTAAGACCTACCAAGGGTGAGGGGGAAGTCAAGGCTAAAGGTAAAGCAGTATTTTGTTACACTTACAGCATAGCAGAGAGGACATCACCACTGATGTCGCCTGCTTTTTGACAAAAAACAAAGCAAGCAACCAGAATCAAGGCTGCAGACATTTTCAGCTCCTGGACTTAGTTATTTCTGAAAGGCAGACAAGGATATTGACATAGGCTGAAAGTGTTTAGTGTTGCGTTTTAGAACTGAAGACCTCAATAGCAACCTCGACCACAAATAATGTCACTTTGGGAATAATTGGTGTTTCTTCTCTCATCACCAAATCTTGCACAGCTGTTTCCAACAGGCCAGAATTTTAAGGAGAATTGAAGTAATTTCAAACACAGCATTCTCTCAAGTTTAACACGTTCTTTGTTTTCTCTCAAGAAATTCAGGTAACTCTGTCAGATTATCACAGGTCAGAATCCTTTAAACCTCTGTACACAGAACATACAGGAATTCTAGAATATACCACAAGCCCTCTGTTTAATGTAAACAGTAATCAAATATACCTCAACAAAAAAAATTGCTAAAGCAGCCATTTCACTCTTTTGCATTACTGAAACGCCTACCGACCAAAGTTCCAGCTGACAAGCTACTGAAGATGGGTTAATGCACTGAGGGATGCACATTTCAGCACTGCTGAAAGGTTCCAACATGAAAATGTAGATACGCCTATTTTAGGACCGTTTTCAAATCTGGCAGATGACCGTGCAGATCCACAGGGACTTTGCTGTTTTGGCTCAATGCATCTGAGGCACTTTTGCATGACCCCCACTTGCATAGTGAGGTGAAACACCACCAATCGAATCCTGGCTTATAACTTTAATGCGTATAATCTTTAGGGAAAAAGGGAAATGTGGGACGTAAAATGTAAAAATGTAACAATGACAAAAACCAAGTGACTTGATAAAGACAACAACACCACCACCCACTGACAACAAAGTGATAATGCTGTAAGGACAGCGCAACTACCCAGAACAGTAAAAACCCGCAACTGCTTATAAAACTTGCAATCGCTTATCAGTATTAAAAGGAGCAATCACTTATGACAATAAGGAAACCTGCTGAAGAAGCCCCAAAAGGAGCTGGCATAAAACATCTCCGGTGTTCCTGTATGTGCCAGGGAGAGAAATGAAGAGATGGCTGAAGACAAAAGAGAACAAAAAAGGAGAGAAGAGAGAGAGCAAAGTTTTCAGAGAGTCAGAAAGGATTTTTTCCCCAGCCTTTGGGTCCTCGGACAAGTCCATCCTTGAGGAGCCCATCAGCCTGTTGGGAGTCCTCAGGTGCTTGGCATGTGCCTTCTCCTTCTCTTTGTTTATTCACCTTTCACAGCCAAAAATTCTCAGGTCTGGGCCTAATTTTTTCCAATGAGCATGGGAAGTGATGAACCTCAATTAGCATAGGAAGCAGAGACAGGTGTTTCCTTAATAAGTGAGAGGGGGAAGGGTGGCATGAAACCTTTCAATCAATTGGGTCAGTGGTGGTGCAGCCCCTGTGTTGGATTAACTTTGGCTGAACTTTCTTTGTTGGCACCTTGGATCTGGGGGTGATGATCTTGTTAAGCAAAAGTTTGTCCTTGCTTAGTGAGGGGAGTAAAGCCTTTGGTGCATTTTTGGCTTCTTCTTATAATCAAGGAATTATTATTATTATTGCCTGTTGCCTTTTTACAGCCAAGATGTTTGAGACATCCCAAGGACTTCCCTTCTCCGGGCCTTTAACAAGCAGTCAGTCCTTTACAGTCAGCTGTTTGTAGAGCTGGGGTGGTGCAGTTGGCGCAGGTATGAATTCTGGAGTTCGGGGTTCTTTGGTAGGGAGTCTGTTCTAGATCAGGTTCTATCTCACTTAAATGGTCTAGATCAATCTGTGGTTCTAGATTGGTTTCCAGGCTGGCTTGCAGCTCCATTGGGCTTGGGGCGGGGGAGGACCTACTTCAGGCAGTTGTTCTGGCGTCTCACCAGGACTTAAAGTACTTGCTGATGATGAGAGCAGTCTCAATGGGGTTTTTCCTTTATTTCTTTTTCTGTCTTGCACACTTTTTTTTTCTTCTTTGGGGGTCTTTGGAGTTGAAGGCCCATACGATCATTCCATCAACTGCAGCTCTTCCAAGTTGCCTGACTCTCCCTGCCTCTCTGGACCTTCTTTTCGCTGGAGGCAATACTGGAAACTGGATAAGTTCCTACTTGACTATCTCCTTCGCAGCAACTGCTTGCCACCCTTCTGCTCCAGGGAGGCTTGCCACCCTGCCCAAGAGCCTTGTCCAATTGGCTTTGCCACCTACTCTTGAGCCCAGAAGCAGCACTTCACACAGGCCAGGGTGTCCACGCACCTCAGAAAACGCTCACCACTTCTAAAGGATGCTCCAGTACTTGCACCCACAGCTGCAAATGCCAGCCTAACCCCAACGCTGAAGAAGAAACAGAGGAATTGTGCCGGCAAGGCTCAAATCTCTGGTGTCACTTGCTTGCTCAGGAGACAGAGGGATGAAGCAATGACCATCCCTGCTGCTGGCAGAGCCCTTCACCATCCTTGCCTGAAGTCCCAGGCAGGTTTGAAAGGCAGGAAGAGAGAGATTGCCTGCTCTCCTTAGTGCTGCATGCCAGCAATAAGCTTGCCATCGCTAGAGGTAGTTGGAGCATTGGCAGCAATTACTGGGCTGACACTCCTGACTTTTGGACTGCAACGTCAAGGGTTCA